TCCTCTAAGATACAGGATACAAAAGTGAGCTAACTGCAATTAAATATGGTACAAAAGAATGACACTAAGTTTTTTTCCTTAATTTTGATTACTTGTTTTATAAAGTGTCACTGTTTAGAGCTGTTACCTCTTACATTTTTCAAATTGGGCATTTAAATAAAAACTATATCAACTATGTAATAGCTGGAATACCACAGAAAAAGGGAATGTTTCGATTACATTCTAACATTGATTAAAAACCCACTGAATGCCTAGGGCTTAGAGGAGTTGCATCTCTGACACAAAATGTGGAAACCTAGCTAAGCTGCACAAATGGCATGGTTTCAGTATGTTACTGTGATAAGAATCTACTAAAGAGATGACTGTGCTTGTATCACAAGAGACTGCAATCAATTTACCTCTTCTTGTGGATGTGGTTTATCAGCAGTCCATACTTGTAACATGGGCACATGAGTCTTCTGGCGTCTTCTAAACATATAAATGAAAATCTACATTTAGACTTCCAAAAAAACATGAAAAGATGCTCGGTTGCTTTCAATAATTACTAAAATGCAAATTAAAGCAATGAAATAACATTTTTTCCTATCAGATCAACAGATATTAACATTTTTGATAATGCTGATATCTGATTATACTATATATATCTGATTTTGTATTTCAAAATGTAGGTAAATATGTAGTCTCAAACACTGCTGGCAGGGAGGTTAATTGGTATAATCTCCTTGGAAGAGTATAATCTCTTTGGAAGGCAATTTGACTAAATCTATCAAAATTAAAATTGTTCAGAACCTTCAAGCCAGCAATGCCATTTCTAAGAATTCACATTCCCTATAAATATATTTGCACACATACACAAAGACATATACACAAAAATATTCACTGAGACACTGTTTACAAGACTGAAAATAACCTAAAAGTCCATCAAAAGAGGACTAAAGAAATCATGGTACATTAAAACAGTGGAATACCATATAGCTGTTAAAAAGAATGACGTAGAGCCATAGACTTTTATGCAACAAATCCAAGTTATAGTAAGAATAAAAAAGCAAGTGAAAAACAGTGTGTATATTAGATTATCATTTGTATAAAAAGGAGGAAGATATATTTATGTACACACATACAAAAGTTCTTTAGGCTTCTTTTAACTTTATTTGTAACCAACTAAGTAGATATTAACAGTATCCAAAGAAGTACCTAATAAATAGACAGAAAGTAAAACAAGTAAATCTGCAAAAACTTAAGCAAAACACAACTGTCACTATGCTGCTGGGTAATTAAACATAAATTTACTAACCAGGCCTATTATTAGTATTATATCTAACAAGATAAA